TTTGAAACTAAATCTTAAACCTCACAATCCTATATAAAGGGTTCAATGCTCTGCTTTTAGAAACAATATATCACTAATCAAAAAGAAATGGAGAGTTGTTGATTCAAGTCATCTATATAGTAAAAACTCAGCTAAGAGGGGACCATCACAACTTGAGAGCAAACAAAAAAATTAGGGTTATCTCCAATATACGAATAGACTCGATCAAAGTAATAAGGCGCAAAATTAGACACTCCTTATCTATTAGTTCCAGTAGGTTGAATAAAGAAGCGACCTATTTCAAACAATCAATCAATGATTCCTCGTTTTAAGATAGAAATAGGTTATGACAGTTGCAAAAACCATAAACCTAAAGATCCAATAGCCACCACTCTCCGTTGTACAACCAAATTTCTATCTCAAGAGGCATATATTCAACCAAAATTCAATTTCTAATCCTCCTTCTACAGCTTCAGTTATTGATGAACTCCATTCTATTCGCCATGAATTGATATCGGAGTTGAAATCTTCTACTCGCCCAGTTTAAAATCCCCAACAATAAAACCGTAGTGCCAAGAGATACCTGAAGATTGATTTTCAATGACAGTCTTGTACTGGGAAGTGAAAGGCGCAAACTATTGCACGATGGATGAAATTTCAGAGGAAGTTAGAAAGAAAAGAACAAAGATAAAAAAACACAAAATTTAAATTTAAATTGAAAAATGCAAGGATACAACACGTAGTTACATAATTAGTTTCTTCCATGTTAGCCAATTACCCATTTACCTTTAGCAAAAATTAAGGAGAGAGCGGGAATTTAAAATTGAGAAAATTACATGAAACTCTACTATGAAAATAGAAGTATCAAGCTTGATAAAAATACATACGGTAGACTTAGTGAGCTTGCTAATTATGATGAAAAAGTCCTCTGATTTTCAGAGATTAACTTTGTCTATTTTTTGTATAAAAAAGGATGCAATAAATTTATTTAGTGTAACTGGTTGTGATTGTTATCTTTATTTGAAGAGACCCGAGTTCAAATCTTGATATTGCTATTTTTATATAAAATAAATAATAAATGTGTAAAGACAAAATTGACCTTCCTACTTTCACTCTAATTTCCTCTTTCTCCATCTACTCATTTACCCGCCCTTGTATCGTTTTATATTTTTAAATTTTTTGATCCGGCTTCGATTCCCGTGAAAGTAATTCCATTCCGTTACCAAACATTCCCCTCCGCCCCTCATCATTCTCCCTCCTGCCCGCCTGTCCCCCTCCCGCAGAATTTGAAATTATTTTGTGATTAATAATTGTAATCCATTGTTAACCACTCCCGCCCTCATTAACGGTTCCACGTGTCCCCTTATCCTCCCTTCCACGTCACACTTCCCTGTCCTCTTCCCCCCTCTCTCTAAGGTCTAATCCTTCCCACCTTTTCCCCTTTCTCTCTCCATCTCCAGACTCCTTTCTGCAGTAGCGAAAGTAAACAAAAGCTTCATCTCTCTCTCTCTCTCTCCCTATTTCTAGGTTCCCTTTCCCTCTTTACAATTTTCCCCTCCCACCACTGCGCACCACCACCACCACCACAATTCCGGTCTCACTTGACGGCAATCGGAGCCTTTTCCATTTCCGATGGGGTCGATTCCTGATCCAGGCGAGGTCACCGCCGACCTAACTCCTCCGCCGCCGAGCTTTGACGACTTCCAGCGGCAGACTTCTCTCATGACCAGCTGCACTCTCCTCTGGAAGGAGCTCTCTGACCATTTCACTACTCTCGAGCAAAACCTCCAGAAGACGTCCGATGCCCTGAAGCGCAAAATCCAGGCCCTCGACACCGAGACCAAGGACTCCCTGGCTTCTCTCAAGAAGCGGGAGGTCACAATCGACGGCAGCGTCGAGATCGCCCTCGAGCGACTCGACGACCGCTGCGAGGCTGCTCTCAGGTCAATTGACTCCGATCTCGGCGAGGTCGACGACGGCGACGGGCTTCTCCTTGCTTTGAAGACGTTCTGCTTGAAGATGAGCTCCAGGGAGTTCTGGAGGTTCGTGATCACCAAGAAGAAGGAGCTGGACGCGTTGAGGAGCCAGATTCCGTTGGCGCTGGGTGAGTGCGTGGATCCTCCTAGGTTTGTGTTGGAGGCGATTTCGGAGGTTTTCCCCGTGGATAGGAGAGGGGAGAGGAGCGAGAAAGGGAATGATTTGGGATGGGCTTGTGTTGTGATTCTCGAGAGCTTGATTCCGGTGGTCATGGACCCTGTGATTGGGAAGTCGAGGCTGATGGTTACGCCGACGGTGAAGAAGAGGGCTAGCGAGATTGCGGAGACGTGGAAGAGGAGCTTGGAGGAGCGCGGCGGGATTGAGAATGTTAAGACGCCCGATGTTCATACTTTCTTGCAGCATTTGGTCACTTTTGGGATTGTGAGGAAGGAGGACTTTGATTTGTACAGGAAGCTTGTGGTTGGGTCCGCTTGGCGCAAGCAGATGCCAAAGCTTGCTGTCTCTCTTGGCTTGGGTGGTGAAATGCCTGGTATTATTTTCCTTCCACCCTTAATTGCCATTTCTATACTTGCTTTCTTAAGCTCTGTGATGGTCAGTTCCTTAATGAACTGAGTGTTAATCCATCTGTTACGAAGTTTTCACTTGTATTCCATCGGCTGCTCTGTTGTTGTTACCTGTTATTGCTGAAAATGTGAGACAGGCTCGTCGTTGATGCTGTTTACCCAAGCCATAATCTGATGATGGGCCTGGAATTTGGGAATTGTGTTTCTTATTGGCACAGGGTAGGATTATTGCTTTTTGATTTCTAGGTTTAAGTGTTCATGTGAGCAGAATGTGGTGAAAGTATGCCCTGTTTCTGACTGATACAGAAAGCTTTGGTTCTTGAAGTTGATCCATGGATATGCAACTTCTTTGTGTGATTCACTCCAGTGAATGGTTCTTGGGATGATTGTTAAAATGTGGTAGGGTTCATTGTTTGCATCTTCTGGATTGTATTGAGCTGCTCTTTTCAATTGCAGATATGATCAAAGAACTTATTGGTAGGGGTCAGCAACTCGATGCAGTGCATTTTACTTACGAGGTCGGCCTGGTTTACAAGTTCCCCCCTGCACCCTTGTTGAAGGCCTTTTTAAGGGATGCAAAGAAGGCTGCAGCTTCTATAATGGAGGATCCTGATAATCCTGGAAGGGCTACGGTATTTCCCGACACTTGAATCCTCTTCTAGTTGTTGGTTCTTGTGTCCTCTCCTGTCAATACATTGGTTTTCAGTGATGATTGAAGTCTGAAATCAGTGTACCAACCAGCCAGTATAGCAGATTAGCAGCAATATGTTAACCACTTTCAATGCCTCAACTACAAACTCTTTTTGAAGTTTGATTAGTTTGAAAGAGTTTGTAGTTGAGTCATTGAAAGTGGATTAACATATTGCTGTTAATCTGCTATACTCTCGTCCAATTTGGAGAAGCTTCAAGTACAATACATTTCTTAAATGGTGAAGCATGCATGCTTTGGTTATAGTACTGCTTTGCCCTCTTTTATCTTTTGTCATGTGATGAGCAGCTGGAACCAACACCACTTAACATAATTTGCTTGGCTAGTGTGACCTTGTAAATAACACTGCTAGAACTAATTTCTTCCAACCTGGTGTTAGAAGTTCTGTTCCCTGACGTTGTTTATTCTTTTGTGTTATTGTTGAATTTTTTTTTTAATCTTATAACTCCATTGGATATTCCCTCTACTGTCTTCTTTTTCACATCTGCTTCCTCATGGTTCAAGTTTTTCAGTATTTCATGAACAGTTAGTTGGGTTAATTATTAATCATCCTGCTAATATCATTGATTTCTGACTCCTTTGTATAACCTATTTTGCAGCAACTTGCTGTGAGGAAAGAACAGTCAGCACTCCGTGCTGTCATCAAGTGCATCGAGGAATACAATCTAGAAGCCGAGTTCCCACCAGAGAACCTCAAGAAACGCCTGGAACAGCTGGAGAAGGTGAAGACAGAGAAGAAGAAGCCAGTTCCAGCTGCCATCCCTGCCAACAAGAGAACTCGTGCTAGCACCGCCGGTCCAATGCCACCAGCCAAGGCCGGGCGTCTGACCAATGCCTACGTATCATCTTTCCCCTCGCAGCCGCCAACATTTGTTAGGTCGCCTTCTCACTACCCGCAGTACCCAGCTGCTGGCATCCCAGCATATGCATCTCCGCCGCCACCACCAATCGTCTATGGCACTCCGAGCCCACAATCCCCGTACGCTGCGTATTCCCCTGAAGCAGTCCACCACCCGATTCCCGGATCATATACATTGAATTACGCGCCACCACCGGCAGCATATGGAGGATACCCAAGTGGGTTCGCTCCAGCTTATCATCAGCAGGCTTACTACTGAATAGACATCATCATCATGACTAGGTCTCTCATTGAAGAAGATGGTAATCCACTGATAATATGATGACTATCCCGCTTATTTCCTTCTTTTCTTTCGGTCCTTTCTTCTTCCTGCTAAACCTGGATGGTTTGTGTGTAATAGCTAACTGTTTTAGTCTTAGCTATCAGCCCCTCCCTTCCCCTGGTGTGTGTTTTAATTACAAATGTCGTCTCTGGTGCACTTCTTACTTTTCTCCCATGGCGACAAGCTATATTTCTAATGAAACTCTAGCTTTAGGTTTATTGTGCATAGTAATCTTCCACCTTCTTAATTCTGCATCCATCTCTTCATCTTTACTCATGTCTGCTGGGACTCCATTGGGAGGCAAAAGTGAATGTAATGTAAAGTCTGCATCAGAGAAAGCATGTGGCTTAAGGCTGGCTGGTTGGCAGCTTTAGCATGGTGGTTAATGCCCTTTTTCCAGAAAAAAAAAGCACTGATTGCTTCTTTGACGGAGTTGCTTCAAGTTAAAGATAAGATCTTTTGTCTGTGGGAGACATGTTTTCCCAGATCCGCCCAGTAGATTCCAAGGATTTGATGGATTGGGAGTTGGGACCACGCCCCAATCCCACGCACCCACTACTGTGGGCTGAGCCTACCTTTCCATGGACTCTCTACAACGGGCCTTCAGGTGCTTGGCCCATGTCGTGTTCTTAAGTTATAATAGGCCGGGATCTCTGGGCTATCTTTTAGTTTAACCCACAGGCCACAAGGGCGAGCTAAAGCGTGGAAATTGGAATCGCGGTCAGAGGGGTTGGAAGATTGCACGCCAAGTGTTCGATCATTTGCCTGAGAGAAAGTAGTTGCATTCCCGCTTTGCTCTAACCATGGCGACGTTCTCATTGAGACGAGGTAGCTGCTTGCTCTCACGAGCTTGCTTCAGCTACCTACCGGGAGCGTGTAATTTCTGCTCCATGGCTTCCGGGATTGGCAACGTCATAGATGGCTGGACCAGAGAAGTGCCGGCTGAGAGACGTCCTTCTACCCGGTCGAGCAGCAGCAACGTTCATCTTTCTCCTTTGTTCAGAGATCCTACCTCACACTTGGATCGCTATGACATCGAGCTCGTGGACTATGATGCTTGGCAGGTAACATCCGGGATTGCCCATGCGTTTGGTGGATTGGGTAAGAAATCGGAACCACAAACTGTAAGTGAAGCAGCTGATCTCCTGGTTAATGGGCACTCCTCCATTTCTTCTCTGGATGACCCTGATTTTGATGAGATTGATAACATGAGAATCCGGGGAAATCTGTTCTACAAGCTTGATCGGGACTCGAAAGAGTATCAGGAGTATAGCTTTGATTTCCACCGGAGGAAGAAGAAAGGCGATGAAGCTAGAGACAGCGGAAAGAAGGAATCTTCAACGAAGAATGAACAACCCAAGGAAAGCAAAAAGAACGAAGATTCGTCCCTTATGGAAGCCAAAAGAACAACCTTGATTGCTAAGAACGGCAGGGCCTATACTTTGATGGACTGTGGCTCTGATGTCCCTGACAGTGTGGCGGAGAAGAAGAAGAAGAAGGTTCGGACTCTGACATTCAATCAGCTCACAGCTCCATACCACGAGCCATTCTGTCTCGACATTCAGATATCAAACGCATCGGCTCGTGCATCCGTCATTCACCGAGGTACAAGTAAAGTAGTGGCTGTGGCACATTCGATATCCAAGGACATCAAATTCGACATGGGTTCTACAAGAAATGAAGCCACTTGCCGTGCTGTTGGGCAGATTCTGGCGCAGAGGGCACTGGAAGACGATATCCACAACGTGGTTTACACTCCAAGAAGCGGGGAGAGACTGGAAGGGAAGCTTCAGATTGTGCTTCAGTCCATTATTGACAGTGGTCTTTCTGTGAAAGTAAAGCTCAAGCAGAGGAAATACAAGAAGAAGCTTAGCCTCCCACAATATTCCTCCTAGGAAAGCCTCATAGCATCCGAACATTGTGTAAAGGTTACCACTTTATTCCTTATTAGTGCCTATGAAGAATCTGTTAGAAAAAGTTCTTCCTCAATGAAAGTTCTGTTTTGGATGTTACACAGAAGAGATTTACACTGGACCACAATCTCCAACTTCAAATTTCACTCCACAGTCATTAGCCGTTGCAAAAGCTGCAGTGCGAGCAAATCTTCTTCTGGAATGGTTCTAATGTGGCAATCCGAAGTCGGGTATGCGGCACAGAGCAGTGCGTAGCCGCGCTTCACCACGTCGTCACTGAGCATGCCATCACTCTGATCGAGCGAGCCGCTCGCTCACTACCTTAGCGGGGCAACTCATGCACACTCCAAGCTTGCAGTCATGGGGTACAGTACAGCAAACCCGGAGTCCAGTGCCTTGGACAGTATGGTCTCGTCTGGATCGACTTGGAGCTCCGTGGACTTGCCCTGATGTTCAATCACCACTTTGTATGGCCGAACCACGTTGGGATGGTCTTCCAGTTCTGTAGTTGAGTCCAGAGGAAGGGAAGTTGCTGCTGTGGTTTTGTTTGGTGGCAGGGATGAAAGGTGACGGAGCGAAACGGAGGCTGTGAGTTGCCATAGCCGATGTGGGAAATGGAATACGGAAAAGAGTTTTTTTCTTTTGGGTGGTGCAGATTTTTTTTTTTTTAAGAGATGAGGCTTCTGCCTCTTGAGTAGGTGTTCAAATGGCTACAATGGTTATAATCAAATTAAATAAGGCTAAATTCTATTAACTATGGAATACAATATCATAACCAAACCGTCCAAACTAATACAACAACCAAATTAACCAAACTAAAGTTTAATCGGTTTGGTTAATTGGTTAACCAGATTAACCAATATAAAATCACATTATCATTGACGATGAAAATTTTCCGGTTAATGCAACAATTCGCAATTTATATAATGAATAAAATATAACAACCAACACGTAGTTATAGTTGACCCTTAACAAAAATACATGCAACTAAGACAATTATTTTACTATTAGTATAGAAGTATTCACCTTACAAAAATTTATGACAATGGTATGTTAATGAATTGTTGTGTTTGTGTAAATTGACTTAGTCTCTTAGCAATTATCTTAGGCTGGAAATGACCTTCCTTTCAAGTTTTCATCTATCATAATGTATGAAATTTATCTAAATTAGGCGTCCATATGTTGTGGTCTACATTTTACATATACAAATATACGGAAAATTTCCCACTGTACACATGTTTTTAAAAAAAATTCTCAAAATACACACGTTATGAAAAAAATTCTCAATCTACGCATGTTTGGGCCTTCACCGCGTCTGACCAAGACGGTGATTGAATCACCACGTTAAAGAAGAGCGGTGATTGCATCACCGCGTTAGACGAAAACGGTGATTGCATCACCGCGGTAGAGGAAGGCGGTGATTGCATCACCGCGTTAGAGAAAAACGGTGAAGGCCTGACCTGCGTCGAATCTTTAAAAAAACGTAACTTTGTGCTCGGTTATCCGATCGTGGTGAAATTTTTTTTGATTCCGCATAATTTTTCGAGATCTTGCAAGCCGCAAACTGCCGGAGGCGGTTTGTTCCCGCCTTCGTCCCGAAAAAACGTCATTTGCTACCCCGAATGAGCCTTTTTTCGATTTCGTCAAACTTTGAACGACCATAACTTTGTGCTCCACAATTCGAAAATCATGAATTTTTTTTTTATTTTGCATAACTTTTTGAGGACTACAATTTTTATCATAGACATAATTTCGGAATGTACTTGGATTCCTAAAAAAGAAAGGTAAACTTATTCTCAAAACCCCGTATATCCAAAATAATTCATTTTTTCATAACATGTGTATTTTGAGAATTTTTTTTAAAAACATGTGTACAGTGGGATTTTTTTCCCAAATATACACTATATGAGCAATATTGAGCTTTATATTTTATGAGTCTAAAAGGGATGAACGTTAACTCTTGAGTGGTTATGCAAAGTATTAAGTATGTGTATATAATATATGTTAGATATATGACTAATTACTTAACTGGTTAATTTGGTTTGACTGGTTAGGAGTGTCTGAAACCAAAACAAACGATCTAAACCAAACAAGCTAAAAACTTTAACCAAACCAAACCAATTATCCAAATTAAGCTAACCAAACCAAATTATCCAAATTGTACCGATTAAAACGATTACCATGGTAACCAAACCGTTTCAACACCCCCTACTCTCGAGTCTAGAGGTGTAGACTGAAGTTTGCAATTCCGAGGATGGGAATGGTTAATAACTTAATTAAATGTTACGTCACCAGATCCGAAACCCCGATTTCATTTATTACCCACGACATGAGTAAGTTGGGCTGAAAGTCCATTCTGCTCTCTGGACCTGGGACGTATTGGGGTTAAGTGGAAAAAAATCAATCTAGTCCAGTCCAAGGAAAACAGTGGAGTAGTATCGTGAGAACTGAGAAGGTCTTCGATCAAAGGCTCTCTCCATTGCAGGCTTGCAGTTTCGTCTTGGCAAGAACAGTTCTGAGAAACAACTGAACTGAGGGTTCGTCAAGGAAAAGTCAAGAAATCAAGAGAAGGAGAAGGAGCAATTGGCGTCGTGTCTCGCACTCAGCATCTTACCCTTCTGTACGATTTGCTCTATCAAGTTTGATTCCCAAATTGCTTCCTCTTTTTCTATTCCAATCCCAACGCCGCCTGCGACCTCAATCTTAAACTTGAGGTGAGCTTTCCTTGTTCATCCTTTTTACGATGGGGCTGCTATGGTTTCCGGGAGTGGAGATGAGTATGGTTGTTATCTTTAGTACACAGTTGGCTGGATGAATCGTCATAGCAGTTTTTACTTTGAAGTGGCTAGGTTAGGGATGCCCTCGCTATGGGCCGTAGTCAGCTGATGTCTTAATAGATCCTCGTCAGTGATCGTTTTCTTCTCTTCATTCCTCAGTATAGGGTAGGGTAGGGTAGGGTATAGATAGTGACTTGGATTGAAGTTGTGGAGTTATTCCCCTGGAAGATCTATGTGGAATTTTTTGCCTGTAGTTAGTTGTGGGGTTTCAGCGCAGCTAATTGCTTCTTGTGGGCACTGACTAGGCAAGCATTGCCTTTGGCTTGTCAGGTTTCTGAAGTAGTGCAGGGCTATGGCTGGGTTTTTTTTTCTCGTTTGAATGGCTGGCAGTTCAGGGCAGAAATGAGAGACGACGGTAGTTCAATGTTAATGGGAGATAAGTCCTAGAAACCCTGGTGCCAACTTCAGTTGGCCATTTGATGCTGCTAATGGGAGATAAGTCCTAGAAGAAGGCTATCCCTATCCTGACTCCTGACTACATTTGTCAGTTCGCATGATTTGATAGCGTCCCTGAATCAAATGAAAAACACTTACCAATGTGGTTCAATCCCACTGACATCTTTTGTGTGCCAAGCAATTCCTGGGACTCGGTCTCTCATAGTTTTGCTAATTGCGGTCATGATGATGGATGTTGTGTTTTTAGGATATACAGGGAATGTTTTTCCGAGATTTTATATTACACCTGGTTCTTTGTTTGTAGCTATGATTGTGATGCTCCAGTGATTGTTTTTGCAAGCATTTTTTTTTTTTTTATAAATGCAACTTATGGAGATTGAATCAGGTGAGAAAATGCTGATCTTTTGATTAATCTTGCTCTTTCATTCACAGAGAAATGGCTGGAAGATCCGAAATGCAAGGGAGAGAGCCGGTAAACGAGCAGATGGTAGCAAACATGTACACATCCATGAGAACTGAGCTAAACCAGATATACTCCAAAATCACTGAACTGGAGATGGAAGTGAGCGAGCACTCATTGGTCATTAATGCCATCCAACCCCTCGACCCTACCAGGCGCTGCTACCGCATGATCGGAGGGGTGCTCGTAGAGAGGAACATCAAGGAGGTCCTGCCAGCAGTGCAGCGTAACAAAGAAGGGATCGAGGAAGTAGTTGCCAGGCTGAACGAAGCCCTGGAAAAGAAGAAGAAGGAGATTGCCGACTTTGAAGCTAAATACAAGATCAGGATGAGGAAAGCTGATAGTGACATGAAGGATGAAGAAGGTAGCAAGAAGGAAGGCGGCTCCCAGGGAGTCCTTGTGGGCCCTGCAGGCTCAGCGGACTGAATCATTCAGACGCAAGTTCCATCCTTGTTTTCATGATCGTCTGTTCGCATAGCCATGCTGCACACCATCTTAGATCGAATAACTCAGTTTCAGTTGTCAATCACTTTCGTCGATTTTCACGATCCAAATTTGTTTGAGGTATTGTCTGAGGGAATTTCTAAAGCCCGTCTGCGTTTATTACTAGTGACTAGTGAGACACTGCAAGTTCGATTCCGATACAGGAAGGATATGGAGCAAGGAAAGGAAATGCGAGCTATCGCCATTTTTCGGTAGAGCTCAACGGCCTCAGACTGAATGAATATAAACAGGATTCCGAATTACAGGGTTCGTATGATAACTTGATCAAGCAGAAAAGTAATAATACAATCGACACTCCTGTGGCTGTGGGAAAAGGTACAGAATAACAATCGTGGTTTCCTCTTCTTAACTGAAGAAATCCTGAACGCCTCTACCGGCGAACACCTTATCGGAGAGCTCGGCCAGCAAGGCATTGACGGTGAGCAAAGCGACGCTGGAGCCAGCAATGACGCCCAGCACCACGCCGGTGGTTCCCAAAACTTTACCGAAGGACGGCCACTCTATCTCTCGAATCTCCTCCACCACTCCGCTCCACAGATCCCCGGCGCTGCCTTCCGCTTTCTTCCTCTCCATCATCGCCTGCCTGATCTCTTCTCCCAAATCGCTCTGCTCCTCTTTCTTGCTCGGCGTCGCCGCCGCCCTGGAGTCATTCAATTGCTCCGATTCCGTTTGCTCCTCCTGGCTCTCTTCGACTGCTCTCGTTACAGTTCGCAGTTTCAGAAGCCGGGAGCTGAAGGAGGTAGAGATATGGATGGTTAGGGATTTGAATCGGAGAGGAAGGGAGGGGGGATGGAGATTGGAGGGAGATGGATGAAGATGTGGATTCAGGGGAAGTTTCAGCGACAGTGTGTTGGAGAGCGCCATTTCTGCGTTGGGCGGCGAACTCCCAGCTGAATGACAGTGGCGGATAAGAGAATGAGAGCCGATAGATTTCGTGGGCTGGCTGGGCTCATTGGTCTTTGTTGGATGGGCCTCAATTACCTCGGCCCATTTCGTAATTAGATTTGATTTGAACTGCCAGTTTTGGACTATACTCTTGTGCCGAGCCAATATATATAGGGCTGGTAACCTGGTTACCATGATAATTACAAAATCAAATAAGTCTAAAAATTATATGTAACTAATGCAATTATCAATGGTATGTGTTAATGAATTGTTGTGTTTTGTAAATTGACTTATTCTTTTAGTAATTATCATAGAGTGAAATACAAATTTCTTTCAAGTTTTCATCTAACATACTGTATGAGTTTTATCTAAAATAGAAGTTCAGATGTTGTGGTCTACACTCTACAAATACAAATATACAATATATGAACAATATTGAACTTTATTTTTTTTTTATGAGACTTAGAGGGAGGAACGTTTGACCCTTTAGTGGTTACACAAAGTATGAAATATGTGTATATAATATTTATGAGATATATGTCTAATTACTTAACTGGTTAAGTTAGTTTGACTGGTTAGAAGTGTTTGAAACCAAACCAAACCACCTAAACCAATCAAGCTAAAAAATGTAACCAAACAAACCGTTATCCAAACGAACCAAACCAAATTATCCAAATATAACCGGTTAAAATGGTTACCATGGTAACCATACCATTTGAACACCCCTAAATATATGTCGATATATTTCACTTTTCAGTATCCAAGAATTTCTGCTACCTCCTTAATTTCTACTTGTCCAACCTCGTTTCCACATCATCAGTCGATGTTTCCCTCCGTTCAAGGTGGGTCCTTTGTTCTTTTTTCTGGGTTTTGATTTACTACCTCTACTATCTTTTAGAGTATGATTTTCTTCTTATTTTTGCAAATCTTTAAGATTCGAAGAAGGCAGTAGGTGATATCCTATTAACTCATGGTTTCTTTGCCTGATCTGGTTTGGAGTCTAGGGTTTAATTTTGATTTATGGATCTGCTTATGTGTCCAGGTCCTGGATTTGGGTCGAACTCTTTGATTGCTACCTAGCTAAAACGTTTTATTGGGATGTTTTTTTTAAAAACGTTACTGGTTTGGTTAAATTTTCACTTTCTAAAATGAATTTATAGCAAACTCAAGGCCATAGCCACTGCTTATGACCATCCTGTTGATGAGAAGCTTCAATCCGAATTTAAGCCATAGCCACTGCTCATGACCATCAGATTGATGGGAAGCTTACCTCTAAATTTGGGCTTTGGTAAGATGATTGATATTAAGACGGGTGCAGGTTTATCAATATGAAACTATACTTGTGGCTTTAATGGATATATTGGATTCAGGTATGGGAATTCAAAATATATAAAAAACAATAAAACAAATTTGTTTGTGATTAGCAAATTTTGGTAATCGGGTCAAAAAGGGGGTGCCCTTGAACACGACAAGAGGTATTCTAAAATACCTTCCAGGGGTCTGCTTTTGGATTCTATTTTCTGTTTTGAATGGATGGTTGGATGACCTTTAGTATGCTTTATATTGTTTATGGCATGATGTTATTGGCATGTTAAAGGACTAGTGAACTAACCTAGCTGATTAGCGCACTAAGTTTTAGCTAGCAACTTAACATGAATTATACTTGGCAGAAAAACTGGAAACGATCCAATCGGATTCATGACATGCGGGTGATAAAAGAAAGACTGTCTATCATAGCATGTAACTAAAGAAATGAACTAAGCAAAAAGACATACAACTCACGACAATCAAAATTTCTTAGATATACACATCACAACAGTCAAAATTTATTAAACCCTATTTCATATATATATGTTTAAGCACCCTAACTATGGATTATGAAGTAAGGGACATCATTGTATACAATCTTATTGGATGAGTTTCTAATTTCTATATGGATGTATGGGTGAATATATATGCTTGTAATACGACTGTTGGAATGGAGAAGCACTAACCTGGCTTTTTTGTCATTTGGTGGTGGTGTTTGATGGCGATGGCTTCTTGCTGTCTCTGGCTCTCTGCCCCTTAGTGCTTCTCAATGCTTTTATCTGCTTCTTTAGTGTCTTAATGCTCTTCCCAATTCCCAGTTTTACTTTGTTCAAAAACCCTGTATTTTCCCTTCTCTTTCCTGTCCCTTATCTTTGAGGTAAGAAACCTCTTATGTACCCCCCTTTTACTGTTCATTCTTGTGTGTTGGCTGTTCTTCGTTTGCTCCGGAAGTGGTGGCCTGATCCATATAAATGAATGGCAAGGTTTTATTGGATCTAGAGGTGGTGGTCGCATTGCTTCTTTTAAGAGGCGGCAGTAATTTCTGGTGCCCCTTTGGATAAGATAAGGATGATGGGTTTGGTTGATCGGGTTGATCAAAATTGACCGGGTTGACCAGAGTTGGACTGGATTGGTTGACCGGATTGGACTGAGCCAAAAATTATGGGCCTGAATTGGGTTTATGGTTTGAAAATCGGGCCAAAGTGTGGGCTGCTGGTGTGAGCTGGTTTCCAATAGTTTTTTTTTTGAAGGACCTTTATCTGTTTCTGGCCCAAAATGATGATCTAATGATGCTCATGAAGTCTCAAAAGACTAGGCCTCCAATTTTGATTGGTACCCTAAAATAAGAAGTCTTTTATTTCTTTTCTAAATGTATAATTTCTAAGTGTATCTTAAAGACTATAAATCATAATTTGTAATTACACATTTAATTATTCATGTTATTGTCTTTAACATTAGATGATCATTGTGATGTATTTCTCAAACATTCAATTGATTCTTCCAACCCAATTCGCTTGCTTCTCCAATTTTTTAAACTGTATCCAAACTTCTAATTCATATTCCCAAACTATGAATTTCAGACAATATAAGCAACATTACCATTCGTCCTCCTATCCCATTTGACCAACTTTAGACCAATGTGACCAACTGTAAACCAAAAATGTTAATACAATCCTAAAATTAAATATAACAAATTTGTTAGTTATTAGGACTTGTTGACCTGTTAACTGGCCACTGTTAATCTAAACTAATATGATAATAGAGCTAAATAATAGTGAACTTGGAAATTATTGGTACTTATTGATTGGCAACTGCTAATCTCAACCAATCTCGTCCAACCTTTCACTTCAACTTATCCTTTTGAGTTTTAAGTAGAGTGGTTGTTCCGGACAAAATGTGGTGTCTACAACCGTAACTAAACAAAGGATATGCTCATGAATAGCCCAATAATGCGCCTTTCAAATACGCCAACACAGAAAGAAAAACACCATAGTTGAGATAAAAAGTCTTCTTAATTGTTTTATTTATTTGAATGGATTTGCATTTTTTCTGTCTTAAATTGGATTTGAATTTTTTTTCATCATGATATATAAATTATATAAATTTTCAATACTTTTTATGAATTAATTTGGGATAATTGGCTATCACCCTCTACCTCCTTTATTTAAACTCGAATTATTGTGATTTACAAAATCATATCGACTTTTGGTATATTTCTAAATTTTTTATTTTGAAACCATTTAGACTAGGGGTGGAAGTTTGGTTTGCGGGTTGCGGGTAACCCGCAAACCGCACCAAACCGCACACTTTGTGGATACCCATACCCACAATTTGTGGATAGTGGGTTGGGTGTGGGTATCAAAATATTGATTTTTGTGGTTAGTGGTTTTCCCACAAAACCCACATTAACCACAATAGTTATATTTATTTTTTCAAAATACTTTGTAACCCACATTAACCACATTAGTTATATTAGTTTGTTAAACTCGGAAGACTAAGAATTAAAGTAGCTACCAAAATCAAATATGCATTTATTCTATAAAACAAAACCAAGTCAATACATAATGTTCATGTGAGATACTTTTATTAAATAAACATTGCCCCTGTGGTATATGTTTATTTCATAACAAAACCAAGTCCATAGATATAGTCAGATAAATTAATCGATTTGTTAAAAGAGGAGAATAATCGATAAAGGTTAGTCTGATACCTAAACTCATCTCCATTTCTCCATGAACTCACGAACAACACAACATGCAACCAGCTACCAACAATACAAGACTATAATCGATTAATCGAGAGTGGAGAATAATCAATTCATTAAAAGCGGACGCCTCCACTTATCGAGCCACTTTTGTGTTTTGCTGTTGTTGTCATCGGAGGAGCCGTGACATGCAACGATGTTAGTCGGGTAACATATCACTCCGCCTCTTCGTTATCTTCAAATCTCTTTCCAAATCCATCTCTTTTGAATTTACACTAACTAACCTATTGTATTCGAGATTTATAATTTATTTTATACTTTATTTTAACTTTTTTTTTATGTATGTTTTTTGAATTTGTGTGAGAAGAAATACAACCTCACTATTTAATTACCATATTATTATTTTTAATCTAAAATTTTTGTGGATATCCACAACCAACCCGCACCAACCCGCAGCGGGTAGTGGTTAACCACTACCCACTGCGGGGCGGGTTGTGGGTATCATAATTCTATATTTGTGGATGTGGTTACCCGCAAAATGTGGGGCGGGTAACCACACCCACCCCAATTTCCACCCCTAATTTAGGCCACCCTGTACATAGTGAAATATGGTGTTAGACAATGTTAAATAGTAGTTAGTTTTCTCCTACTAACATTTATATCACTATTATGATTTCTGATAAATTATGACCACTGTGGTACATTTTTTCTTTTATTGTTGAATATTATGGAAAATTTATATTACTATAACATGCACGATAATTTCTATTTCGCCATGATATAATCTTCTATATTAGCAAACTTTACTGCTATAGTAGACTACAATAAAAAAGTGCTTCCATATTAATGTCATATTTTATTTCAATCTATCAAAATGGATGTGATTATCAGGTACTAGGGGTGTACATGGATCGGGTGGTCAAGGTTTAGCCCTTTTAATCACCCGACTCATGCACTAAAGTTTGGAAAATATTAAATCCAAACTCACCCAAAAAAGTAAAATCCTACGGGTTGCTTCTAATTGGGTTGGGTCGGGTTGACAATATTCTTAAGTTAAAATCCAACCTAACATAAAAAATGTAATTATTCTACACCATAAAAATATTATATAACTAATTGATTT